AATCACAACAGTGTCTACATGTATATCACTTAAATTAAATTTTGATAAAATAACATGAACTCAGTATAATTAAAGGATCAAAGAGACTTAGATTAATAATTAATCAAACAGATGTAAATAATTTACATTTACTCAAAGTAGAAGTTAAAAGTTTACAGACATTATCCATACTAAGGACTTTAACAAGAAACTTTATTCGGTAGACTCGCACAGGAACGTGAGACTAAAGCTGAATGAGAAACAAACTGAGAAACAATTTATTATCCTAGTGACAATGTCACTTCAGAAAGATCTAGGCAGCGATGCCAAAAGAATATTACTTTCAATGTTGTACAGAGTGATCTATCATAAATGTCATCCCCTATTCTCTCATCTCATACTATTAGAGATATACTTACCATTTTTCATATATCTTATAATAATGTACTTGTAAAAAATGTACCAATTCAAATTTGTAAAAATATTTGTTTCATTAAAAAAACAATGCTAGGTTTGTAACCCGATATTCAATTGATTTCGCAACTAAGGTATTAAAAAAATGTAAAAGTGTGCTACAACTTTTAGTCATACACTATTTTCTTTTTTAGAGAAAATAGCGGGTGAAACTTATGGCGAATCATCCTGTACATCATTATGTAGACATTGGATAACAATAACCTATTTCATTTTTCTTGATTTTAATGCTACCATTTAAGTAAACATATAACAAATTTCTTTGCAGAATAAGGTAATAAAAAATAACTCCCCATAACAGTATGGTTTTCATTTATTCTGTACAGATTAGGTATGATGTTGTAAATTAAAAAATATGATGATTTTATTATATCCCAGAAATCATCATAAAAAATATAGCTGTCTAGGTATTACCGATAAAAATATGTTTATCAAAATTGGTAATTTTTTTCCCCAAAAATGGATTAGTGCAATGATGTGATAAAATAAATTAAATTAAGCTTTAGTTTTAAATATAAAAGCTGACACAGAAAGTCTGTCCTGCGTTTATTTCAATTAATACAAAATTTATGTCACAGATATACTTCGTCTTATTTCTCGATGGTATTTTTCAATTTCAATAACCAGAGGTGACAAATAAATGTTAATAAAATAAATGTACATGATGCTTTTTTTTTAAAGTACGCCTCTCTGACTTTTATATAGGTTATAAATGTATATAGTCGATCTGATGAAAATAATTACACTGATGTAAATTGCCACTTTTTCAGATATAATAAAAACTTTTTTAAATATTTATTACAATAGTATAAAATTTGAAAATTATATCTATAATAGTATCCAATTTGTTATCTAGCGAATTATTTCTAACATGCTTGTCACATTTTGCTTATATCTCTCTTATTATTAGGGATACTCATCAAACATTACACTTGTAACCATAAAAAAATGTAATACTCAAATAAGTAAAAAATATATAGGGTGTGACAGTTAAAACATAAAATTTCCTTTTATATTTGAAAAAATGACAATCTGGCATGTTGTCATCAAATCTGCTGTCATTTTACCCTTGTCAAATTTGACGTCAATCAGATAATAAGTCTAAAAGTTGTAAAGACTGCCAAAAGAAACGCGTAGGTTTTTGCAGAGATTCAGTTTTTTACGGAAAATGTGTGGATATTCTATACTGATTGCAAAAAATGAGCATTTTATAATCCAGATGTAAACTCAAGACATTCTAATTAGAGATCTGAAATGTTAGGGCTGCTGCAATGTGGTACAGGGTTGGCTGTAGGCCAGGTTCTCTTTTACGTAATTTTATTCAAACAAAAAGTGACATAACCGTTCCCTTCTTATACCTGCACTATTTGCATTATAAGAATATATAAGTATTTGCATAATAATATGAAACACAAAGGGGTAGTGTCTATTTTTCTACACTGAATGCTTCACATGGAATTTACCATAAAATATTTATAATTATAGTAATATCTAACTCATAAGAAAAGCGATTGTAAAAAATAATTAACAGCTGTCCGCGGTTAATCGTCTCCGGTGATCGGTAAATACAAGTTCAAAAATGAAAATGACCGTTGAAGATATACCGAGGTCACAGGCGCATATCTAAAATAGTCGTAGTTTTTAATAGATGCTAGTTTTGTTAATGGTGGTAATGCTACTTTAGTAATCCCATTAGCCGTGTCACTGTACAATACACGTACATGTTAGCCTCCGATCTGAAGCTTTGCATCGATCAAATTATTCGATACGTATCTAGCAACACCCTAATGCCTGCCTTATCGGCCAGGCATACCGGATACCAGGATAAAGTTTACATGTTTCATGAATACAGCTGATGGTTATCTTGATATCTGCTACTTAATTGAGAGAAATTGAAAAAAAATAACCACTGGAGAGTACCATATCATGGAACATATTCTAACTCTATATAGCAAAATTATTTGATTATTTTCAGTGGTATCAACTGGATTCTACAGGTTTCATATTAATGACAAAAATATAAAATAAAAAATAAATATATCTTCAAATAATAACAGATCTGATATTTCTATCTCTCTCTTTTTTTCATAATCAACTACAGATATGACAAGGACCATTTTTTATTTATTCACAAAATGAAATTTTTTGAAAAATGAAAAAACATATTTATCAGCAAAATATTAAAAAATATACATGGTCGATTCCATCTCAAATCATGCAGAGCTCCATGCGGACCTATCACCAAGCTACTCCAAAATATTTTTTTATTGTTCTATGTCAAAAATAAGAGGACCCCTATTTTTTCTTTTTCCTCTCAGACACATAGTTCAGTATATTATGTACTCGGAAAATGCATCGCCGAAAAGAAAAATTTTAAAAAATTTTCCAATTGCATTTTGATTGCTTATTTTTTTATATTTTTTGACAAAATAAAATAATTCTTATTTTACCTGATAGAGGGAATGGTGCCCTTCAATTCTACCTTTTCAAAAATGTGAATAAATGCATTTTTTTAAAAAAGTGCATCTTCGAAAAATAATTGTTTTTCTCAAAAAGGCCATATTTTTTTGCTCTCAAATATTTTTTGAAGATTCTTAGTACCAATACCTTCAAATCTATCTTTCTGAAATTTGCGGTTTTTTTCTTTTTATCGCATAAAACTTAACAATAAAAAAACTACAAAAACGTGTGAATAAAATGAAACATTCATTTGTAAATGTAATACAAGCCTGTAACTTTTATATTTTTTGACAGATTTCAAAAATTTTTATTTTTGAATTTATGGTAAAAAAAATTGTATCTAACTGTAATACTGCTGTTTTATTAATGGAATACACGGCCAACTAGGACGCGTTTTCTTGACATCAAAACAATTAATTGGTATTGTCAATTTTTTTTCCAAAAACATGTGTTCTCATTCAGTATTCCTTAAAACGTCTTATCACCAATTTTCATCAAATTCGATACATCTTCAGGTGCACACTCTATGATGATGAAATGTGAAACAAGCCTGTAACTTCATTTTTTGGCCGATTTAAAAAAAAATTACGGAATGTAGGGTAAAAAAGACTATCTAACTGTGATACTGCTGTTTTTTATTAATGCAATACACGGCTAACTAGTGCTCGCCTAAAGATGTATCGAATTTGATGAAACTTGGTGATAAGACGTTTTAAGGGATGCTGAATAAGAATACGTAATGTTTTTTGGAAAAAAATCGCTAATACCAATTAGTTGTTTTGACATCAAGAAAACGCGTCCTAGTTGACAGTGTATAGCATTAATAAAACAGCAGTATCACAGTTAGATACATTTTTTTTACCCTACATTCAAAAAAAAAAAATTTTGAAATCGGCCAAAAAATAAAAAAGTTACAAGCTTGTATTACATTTAAACGCCACACCCTGTATATAATTGAATAGAAATAAATGTTTTATTTTATTCACGTTATTGTAGTTTGTTTTTTATTTTTAAGTTTTATGCGATAAAAAGAAAAAAACCTCAAATTTCAGAAGGATATAGATTTGAAGGTATTGGTACTAAGAATCTCCACAAAAAATTTGAGAGCAAAAAAATATGGTCTTTTTCAAAAAAACAAATTTTTTTCGAAGATGCACTTTTTTTAAAAAATGCATTTTCTACCGAACAATACATTTATTCACATTTTTGAAAAGGCAGATTTGAAGGGCTTCATTCCCTCTATAAGGTAAAATAATAATTAATTTATCGTGTCAAAAAATAAAAATAATAAGCTATCAAAATGCAATCGAAAAATTTTGAAAAATTTTTCTTTTCGGCGATGCATTTTCCAAGTACATAATATACTGAACTATGCGTCTGAGAGGAAAAAGAAAATATAGGGGTCCTCTTATTTTTGACCTAGAACAATAAAAAAATATTTTGTTGTTTGGTGACAGGTCCATGAGCTCTGCATGATTTGAGATGGAATCAGCCACATATATTTTCCAAGTATTTTGCATCCTCTAAGTCAAAGTCGGCAACTGTTTAATTTTCTCAAATTTTACTCGTTTTTTAATTATCAAAGTTCTCGCCATTAAATAGGCGTAGCCAGGAATTCGTAGAGAAAAAAAAAGGGCACAGTACTCGTATGTGAAATCAGGGTTTCAGAAATACCAAGAATATATGACTAAACTGAGAAATTTAGTGCAAAAGCCTTCCTCCCCAAGGGCCAAAAGCAAACGGTGGCCTAAAGTGATTCTGACTGTTTTACACTTAAACGCCTCAATATATTTACTTTTGTTTAAATTTGTATATTAATTAAAACAATACGGAATGTAATAAGTAGTAATAATGAAATTATTGAAACTTGCAGCATGCCGCAAGAATTAGGGGAGGGGGGCGTGGCCCTCCTGGCTAAGCCCATGCATCATTATCATAATTCCAGTCTGGTTATAGAGTGTATGCAATTAAAAAAGAAAAACATTTGGCATATGAGAAAAAAATACATTTTTGGGGCATTATCATATAAATAATGCTTTTCCGTGGAACCCTGTATAGAAAATGTGATACATAGTATATATAGTTACCTTTTGAAATTGTAAGAGCTGGTGACCATTGAGAACGTAATATATCAAGACAAATGCTACCATTACTATTTATGTTTGGATGATAAATTCTTGTTGTAAACGCCACTTTAGGAGGTTTGAACGGATAATCTGTTGGGAAGTGAATTGTTAGGAAAAATACTCCACCCTGGTATGGACTGTCAGGCTGAAAAAACATTATGTAATGAGTTCGCATTGTAAAAATAATTCAGACAATTCTTATAAAAAATTTTAAAAAAACTGCAATTTTAGATTACTTGTATTTTATCCACCTGTGAAGTTACATTTGAAGAGTTTCTTAAAATTTTGATATCAAAATTCACTTACGGGTGATTCACAAACGATGACCAAAAATGAAACCTCGTATTCGTTAGTGAACGCTTCCTTAAAAAGATACACGGTATTAAACTTAAAAAAATATTTTTAATTATTTAAAAACCAGTTAAGCGAAATAATTTGAAATTGGACACATGTATTTATGTAAACTTTGTCCGAAATCTGAGGCTTTTTCCTAAAATTTAGATACTCCAGTGGCAGAGAAACAGGGTATCGGTAGCATATTTTTAAACATATAAAAAAAATAGAACACCACTGCTTTACAGTAACGAACATGATATATTCGAACTCGTCTTTCAATTTTCTACAAGTTACTACTCTCTTATGTTTTTCGAAAAGAACCTGATTTTTGAGTAAAACTTAAAAAACGAACTGAAAACACTGTGACATACTATTTTAATTAGAAAAATATGACATGTATCTCCACCACTGGAGCATCTAAATTTTAGGAAAAGGCCTCAGATTTTGGACAATGTTTACATACCCACATGTGTCCAATTTCAAATTATTTCACTTACTAGTCTTTAAATTATTTTAAAAAATTAAAAATATTTTTAGATAAAACACCCTGTATCTTTTTAATGAAGAGTCCTTGATAAAAACTTTATGGGAAAGACTTTCCTTAAAATTCACCAAAGAATGTGAGGTTTAATTTTTGGTCATCGTTTGTGAATCACCCTGTATTAGATGTAATATATTATTTTAATACCTATTAAATATTTATAAATATTAATTTTCTCTGAATCTTTAAGAATTAATAAACCTGTTTCATTTTAAATCATGTCATTTAATTTTTCTCACATTTACATATCATTAATACCTAAAAATAATTCCTTTTATTATCAAATTATCAAATTAATACATATATAAAATCATGTTCCTTTAGTATATTGTTACATTTTAATTTCCGAAAAGGAAACATCTTCCAGTGGCGGTTGGTGGAAATTGAAATGGTCATATTTTGATAATAAAGAATTGAACCCACACCATTTCTTAGATGATTTCTAGGTCCACAGAGAACAAATTTTCAGAAGAAATTTGTGAAATAAAAAACTAAATTAGGGGTTGCCAACTAGGGGATGTCAAAAGCGGTTGCATATATATATTAGCAAATTACCTTTTTTTGTAATCAACTCAGATATAAACAGCTGTTTTTTATTTTTCCCAAAATTTAAATTTTTCTTAGAATTTAATTCTGTTAGAAGTTAAAAAAATGGTGATGCAGCCATTTTTTTATCTTATTTGATTATGAGGAAAAAATATATATTTTGCACAAATATGTGCAACCCTTTTCGAAATCGAGACATTTATCATACCATAAAAAATAGTAGGGCTCCCATGCTTCATTATCAATAAATAATAAGTACAAATCATTTTCCACTTGTAGAGTTTGCACTTCATTACTATAAATTAGGAGACACTAAACTAAGGATTACAATAAAAAGGAGAAATATAGATTTTGTCTCTTAATAAATTATGCTATAGGAAACATCCTTATTTACAAATGCCTTACTAAAATATTTTAAAAAAATCCAATTTTATGGAAAGGTGACATTTCTTGCATTTATTCAATACCTATTTCAAATACCTAAAAACACCTTTTCCTTTTGTCCTCGATGGCATTTATTATAAACTGCTTACTTGTTGAAAGAAATAAAAATGTGAACTATCAAAAAATCAATACAAAATGATGTATTAATTGTTAATTATAATTCTATATATTTTTAAATTACTTATGAATTAAGTTTGAAGGTCAAATTGGTAATGCATATCAAAGGAAAAGAAAAAAGAAATAAAATGAGAAGAACTAGTTTTACTTTTCTGTTGACGTTCAAAAATTTAAATAAATACAAACACATACACTTTGATTCTACATTTTCAATCCAGCATAATTTAGTATTGTATATGTGTAGTGATTAACTTTAAAGTAATAGGACCATGTTATTATTGGCAATGGTAGAGACAGTTTCTAGGAGAATTGCTAGTGTCTCGCAAGAAGTGTAATTAATTTGCGACATTTAAATAACCTTGACCTAAATAATACTCAATGTTAGGATTAATATTAGAGTTAATAATTCTATTAACACATTTTTACCAAACAGTATTCATAATTTTTTTTATTTTTTGTCAACGTTTAATGAAAGGCTAATTGTATAAATATTCATTTACATTAATGTTATCCCCTGTCCAGTCTGCTTTGTCTTTTATATGACTGTACTCAATTGACCTCGAATGAAGAACATGTAACTGTTTTGGAGCAGTTTAAGATTTTTTAAACAGTCTATGTATACATGAAAAGAATTGTTATACATTATGTACTTTAAGATTTATAAAATGAAGACAATTTCTACAAATTTTCATAAAATCAACAATAAAAATTGTACCTGTGGAACTTGTAGGTTTCACATTAACCACCGATAATCTTATTTCCTGTTTACTGTTATTAAAAGTTTGAAAATACATAAAAAGAAATAGTTCATTTTGTACAATTTTTATATATTGAATCTGATTAACTCACAGTAAAAAAAAAACTGATTTAAGTCATCATATTCAGTTTTCTTGAATTTTTAGTCAAAACTAATTTCTAAAGATCCCTATTTGACAAATATGTAACAAAAAAGCCACTAATGGCCGAATTTATTAGGTATATAAAATATTTAAAAATAGGTACCAACGGTACTAATGTTGGACAAAATTTTGTATTTTTGTTGTAGACTTATTTCAACATCTTATATAGTAGAACCGTTTTAAGATTGCCATTACGTCACGAGTGTGTCCTAATATCAAAGACAGTTGTTGCGGGCGTGAATTAATTATTTGTTATACGCCAAAAAGAGATGCAATGATGGCATAAATGTCTTCATAGTCTCAGTCTATCACAGACAATCGTTCCAATATTTTATGTGTATTAGAGTGAAAGAAAATGGAGGACGTTTGTTGGGTATTAGTTTTAGACTATAGTTTGACTAGCGCGTTTAAAACAGAGTTGACAATCAGATTAAAATTTTAACAGTTGTTTTGATTGCATCTTGGTACCTAACAGTTGGATATATTTTCTGAACGTTGAAATATCGATTTTTTTGCATATTTTCGTATCCAGTAACATCAGTATTAAAATTTGCAAGATATCCAGATTTGTGAATTGTCAAGATGACATTTCATTTATATACAAACAGTGACTAATTTGACTAGGATTTTTCGTCTTAGTTCATACGAGTATTGCTTGTGACGCAATGGAAAAGATACAGCGGTTTTAGTATAGTAAGATCGCTTCCCCTCCCTCAACTATTTATCCAGGGTATTAGTTGATTTAGTTGCAAAATGTCCAAATATTTTTGAGAACATTTTTAGAGCAAAAGTAAATGCAAGTGTATAAATTAAAAGGACCTCAAAATTTTTGTCCTTGACACATTAAAAAGTAGATGTGAATCACTTTCTAAAGAATAATGAAAATTATCGTGAAATTGTTGATATTCTATGGAAAAGTCTTGGTGTTATAATTAAAAAGTTAAAATGACAAATTACAATTTTACTGGTGTACAAAAATAAAAATTAATCTTTTAATTTTTTTCATTTAAAACAAAGCACACAATATGCATCATACTCCATTGGTCAGTGTCAATAAGTATACTAAGATCAGGGCACAGATTAAACCCATCAGCTGACTTATTAAAAATTATCTTTACGCACAAAAATCATACATAACTAAACTTATCTAATTACTCATCATTGAAGATAATGCTTAATACTCATCTACAAACTAATTTACAATAATTATAATTCATATTGATTTAGATATACCTATTGTTTACAATAAAGGCATTTTTCTTGACAAACTGTAGTAAAACATATTTTCTTTCTCAATTTATGATGTCGTATCGAAACTGGTTGATTTTAAGGACAGTGATATAGTAGACTGTCAAATTCAAAATATATTCTATCATCACAATTTTAGTGTGTATGGCATGTAACCACTCATCGGCATTATTCAACAAGTTTTAAGAACTAAGAACTGAATTAATGATATGCCTGTCTAGTATATGAAAAACGACAAAACTAACTTAAATATAAAATAAATCGTAGGTATTATCAACTTTATTACAAATACGTTCAATGTCGGACAGTTTTTATTTTACCATATGTATAATGGATTATTTCTTATTGTAATTTTTATTTGTAAATTAAAACACTTGCATTCAATCAATAAGAGAAGTGTGCACGATTCTAACCAAATTATTTGTGGTGTTGCACAATGTTTATAATAATAAAGACACTGTTCATATATAACTTAGTAAAAACAATAATGAAATAAAGTAAAATACAAAATTACTTACTGGTCCCATAATTGTGGCTTGCCAATGAAATACTGTAACAACAAAATACATGTGTTTTAGTTATTTATAGGACAGTCATTTTCCAAAAAACTTACAGTCATCTCCAACAGGACCTGCTGAACATTGTGCCGGAGGATCTCTGCCGAGGTCTTGTAATTCCTAAAAACAAAGACATTTTGTAAAATATCACTAAATACCTATCGAGTTAATTATAGACACCTGAAAGTCAGGGGCCTAATATGGAGAGGTTAGTTACATGAAACTTCAAGCCAAGGACTTAAAAGTAGCCAGCTAAAGCATTAGTTTGACATTTTACCAATAAATTAGATATAAAAATAGTGAGTAATACGGGTCTTAACCGGATCTGCCCTACGTTACGTTATATCCGGCATTTTTTAACTGGGACTGAAACATGGATTAAACTTGAAAAACTTTGAAAAATGTCAAAAGTGTCATTGATACTAAATATTATTTGTTAAATTTTATAAGAACACATGCATTTGAAGAATATAACATATAAACATTTTAAGTTGCACACGATAAATGGTGTTCTAAAACTGTTCACATTGCTGTATCACAAAATCGTTAAGGGCGTTTAACTGCCACAAAAACAATTTTTCCGTCACAAATAATCAATTAATAACAACGTCACTGCCACTTGAAACTTTAACATACCTTATTAATTCTTTTTAAAGCCATTTGACGGAGTGTGTGTGTAATAAATACTGGCTTTTCACCAGACAATGAAACCGTGAGCCAAAGACCTCTGATAGAGATTGCAAAGATGGCCTCCTTCAAAACTCACAGGCACGACGTAAATCAAAATATAATCCTTCAATATTTTTCAACACCAAAACCTCTTGGACACCACGCAAACTGTTAAAACTAAATACAAGAAAAACTAAAATGCCCAAGAACACCCCGCCTTTTCCCAGTTATGCACTTAAAACAGTATTGTTCCAGAAAAGATGACTGATCACTTCCGTGGCGATTTTTGTTAATAACCGATAAAGTAGGACATCACATCGAATTGGTTGATATAAGTGGTATCTAGAGTTCAAGTCGAAAAACAGCTGTTTGTCAAAAAAGTGAAATGAAATTTCTATTATGATATAGATGGCGCTGACGAAATTGTAATGAAAAAGTTTTTTAAAAATACTTATATATTTTATTATTAGCTCTGGCAGTTTTACTTTATTTTAAAGGTATTAAAGTAGTTAGTAAATAAATTCTGAAATTATTAGAACAACAATATTAAAGATATTTCTTTGAACGATTGCATTATTTAACAATTTTAATATATAAGTTATCTGCTTTAGCATTATTAATATTTGTACATACCATTTTTAACTTTCATTTTATATAATTATGAATAACAAGTTATTTACTAGAGACTGCCGCCATAATTTAATTTTAATGGGCATATAGCTCATAGTCAAGCTGTTTCCCTGAATATCATTAGAAATTCTTTGCATACCTAGATTTTTTGATATCGAAGAACTTTGTTTGACTTTATTTGACAGGATTTTTAGAAAAAATGTTGAATTTATTTGAATTAGCTCAATATCTTTAAAAGACAATGAAATTGTATGTTTGGTTGCATATATTCCTGTTTCTTATTTTGAAGCAATAATATGGACTCATCGCAACGTGAAACAAGAAAAATTACGAAATACCATAGAGTGTTACTAGAGCAGATATTAGAAAAATATTCTTTTTTTGTCCATACAATAAATCGCATTAAGAATAAGAACGCCCCTATAAAAATTTTTTATATGAAGAATTTGAATTATTTTTCTATAAATAGTGGCTTTCTAGATGCATTTGTTGAATAAATTGAGATGATTCCATGGCCGGCCATGATTTTATCTCGAAGCAAGTCACTTTGGTGATTGTTTTAATTAAAATTCGACCACGTATAGTAACCTTAATTAGGTATCAGGATTATTCAAAATCACTCAAAACTTTGTATCCCAAATCAGTTTATAATGCAGAATATTTAAATACAGACCTAGTTTATTAAATTTCTGTTTCAGGTTAAAAATCTAGGAGGTACTGAAATACCTGAAAATGAAAAATTCGCCAATTTATTGACTTTGCTGATTATAATTGGTAATTGGAGTCTAATTAATAAATAATAATGTATTTTCATAATTTCGAAAATGAGGCCTGTCTCCAAAGGATCTTTTCCTTATTTTGTACTACTTGAATTCAAATTAGGTATAAGTCTATAATTATGAAAAACGAACAATCAACTTTCTTTGTTTGAACTTTATATTGATAAAAAAAAAACTTGTCATCAAAATATGTTTTTCTTTTTGTTTAACAAATATATTTTTATCTGTGGTTTGTTTTCCTGCTTTCGAATACGAAGCCAAATATATATTTTCCTTTATTAATTTTATGTTAGCGTACATCGATAGAAGTATGTAACTAATTTTTAAACTTAATATTTGCTTCCACATTTGCGAATATCTTCTTGTAACAATTGCTTTCGAGTATATATAAAATTTTACATTCTCAGCAACTTGAATAAAAATATCGAAAAAAATATTACATCTCGAATTGGATATGTAATTTTTCCTACTCATACAATGTTTTTTTTTTCAGACACTTTGTATCTTTGTCAAAAGTAATAGGATTAATTTGATTTTCTGCCCTGAAACAAGATTACTAGATGAACAACTTGGTAATTTTGCATTATAAGTTCTTCAAAGGCGTCCCTTATCAAGGCACTTGAAAAGAAAAATTTTTTGGACATTAGCACTGACAGTTTAAAGAATAAAACTGATAAAGAATTCTTTATTAGCGTCTTAAAATACACGCAAGAATGATTTTTCACATACTTATCTTATGTGCTTACAGATATAGAAATTATGAAATACTGCGAACTTTTGAATTATTTGTATTTTTTCCAAATTGGAGAGCATATTTGCATTTTAATTCACTATTGTTGTACGAAAGAAGATCTTTCAAGTAATCATTTTGTTTTTAAATAACATTGCATAATAATAATTAAATAATATTAATAACAATAAATATTAATAATTTAATATGTATTAAATTAATTAAATAATATCTATTTTTCCTTCGTGCAATAATGAAATAAAATGCAAATATTTTCTAGAATATGAAAGGAATAAAAAAAATAAAGATTAAATGTTCTTTATCTCTGTCTAAACTGTTAATGTTAGTATCAAAAAATGCCCCCCTGGTAGGGGCCGCCTCTGGAGAAATTCTAACATAAAATTATCATGTTGTTCATGTAACCTTATTTCGTTTGACCGCAATTTTCAGCATTTTCTTCTTGTCACAATAGTATATTTTATTAGGAATTTGGAAATAAGGATTTTCAGTGCGCGTGACAAGTTCTCGTGTGAGGTGAAGTCGAACACGGGAAGTCATGTAAGCACGGAAAAATTTATTTCTGGACTTGTAATGAACGATATTTTTTATTATACTCCTTTTAAAACAAAAAAAATAAAAGAAAATATAACATAAAAAAAGACATACGAAAGAAATATTGTTATTTTCAAAACAGTTATAGGAATAAAAAAAACGTAGAGAAATTATATTGAAAATTAACTAACTAACTATTAATAATAACAGCTCCAACTAATAATGTTTTTAGTTTGAATTGTTATTATTAATGGTTCTTTATTGTGAAATTCGTATCATTACACATGTTTAGTCCTTTTGGAGTTCCATTTTGTGAAACTGCTGTTATTGAAGCAGACTCTTCACAAATGCTTTGAATTTTCGAACGAATGATACAGTTGTTGTATTTTGAGAGTGAAAAGGGTTAAACAGTTTTCGTGATACCTCAATTTTTCTTTGTATAGATTCTTCTATATATTCTAACACTAAAATAGTTTTTGGTAATAGATATTGTTCATCTGGAGCTTCACATAACAATTTGGTTACTTGTTCTACTGTTAAAACGTTGGACTTTTTGGGTATATATCCTACAGCTTGACGCTTCAAGAAAGCCCATCTTTATTATTAATACAGATGAAAATAAGGTGTTTTCAAAGAAGTATAATAAAAAAATAATGACTGAATTGGTGGAGGTCATCTTGTTACGCCACTGATTATTTTCCTTAACAATTTAAGTAAGTTAAAATGAATGTTAGAATTATGCTTGTTTACTTGCAAACACGCACATTTCAGTTAATATTAATTAACTTTATTTAAATTAAATAGTATAAATCACATAAAAAAAAAAATCAGTGAAAACACTTTTAATGCATTTTAGAGTTACTATCGAAAGTTACTACTTTTGTCTTAATATTTCAGTAGATGTGTGAGGTATGGAAATGGATTTACACGAATTTTAGTCATAATTTGGCCGGATATACAACCCGGTACATTTTGGTACGTTCACACGGGAAAACCCTGTATATTCTAAATAATTCCCACATTTATTCATTACAAAGGTAGGTGTATACGATATTCATTTTTTAGAATTTGAAATAAACCACTTGAATGAAACCATTTATTATAGTTTTACGTAATTTGACTGACGGCTGGATAAAAACACTTTCTATACCACAATTTGACCGAGAACTACGTCACAGACACACCGCCGGATATTTCGACACACCTCTCGGTGAAGATAACAAATACCTTAACATTTATATCACGTGTATCAATAGTTTAAAAACTATTTCAAGAATTTCTTCATTTTCCTCTCGAGTTTCCAATAAGACAATTTTTTATTTTTTATTTGGTTACTAGTATCGCCTGATGAATTAATCAATTAACCACATTAAAAATGTATAGTTTCAACACAATCTATTGTTTAAAAGAAAGAAATAGGTATTTTAAGAATAGTGTAACATGCTTTGATGGCTACAAAATCTAACTATGTAAACTTGGAGAAGCCATTTTAATGGTAAGTTACAATAATTAATAATAATTTACAATAATAAAAATTGTTACAACTTTTGATAACAAAGATAACTCTTTAGTCTCGTTTAATGACCCATATTAGGTTCATGCGTCTTACGTTGAACGACCTTCTTGAAATCCAAATTGTTTTTTTTATTTATTTTTTTTTTATATTAAATTATTCTTTGCCCTGAAACTGTTCAATCTTCTCTTGAAGTAATGAGAATGAGATGTGAAAGTAATGAGGTGGGTCTAAAATTTGTCACATTAATAAGCATAATTATTTCTAGATTTAGATAGTTTAGTTATAATTATTTATAATTTTTTTTATCAATTTTTCCCCAACTAGAAAATCATTGTTAAATTCTTCGGATTTTGTAACTACCTGAAACTGTGACATTATCTACAATATTTTCTTCATCTATTGCATTATTTTACATCCAATATTTTTAATACTTATATCGACACGTATTTTGTAAAATTATTAAAATTAGTATATAGGGTGATTCACAACGTATCCAAAAAAAATTGGGAGAAATGGTGTCAATATCCTAAAACAAATCTTTGTAAAATCCTTATATTTAGTTTCCGAGAAAAAAATTATAGATCGCTGGACAACTATAGTCTATAGCGTCATTCGCAATACGCGTGGAGAGCCACGTGACCTCAGCGACTCCGAATACTGAAATCCGATTTTATAATCGTCGTTGCGATAGTGTTTACAATAGTCTTTTAGTAGTTAGTGTCAAAAATGGCTTGCGTGTATAGAAACTCGAATTTGATGGATAGGTATCGTTTTAATTTATGATGAAGCAAGACAACATTTTTATTATGGTTAAACATTTGTGTTATGTTGAAGAAGGATAACTTTTGTATTAGTTCGTAGAAACTGAATAAAATGGATCCAAATTTGTTTGCACGTCGGTGGACAAAATTTTTAACAGTTATTCTAACATCAGGTGTGTCATATTATTTTATTAATTAAAATCACAAATTTTAATTTTTATTAATTAATAACAACAGCGGCAAACGCGGTTGAATTTGCTGATATAAAATTAGATTCATTCCTTTCCTTGCTTTTGTCCGTTTTTATCACATTTTGCCCCCGTATC